TTTGAGTCTGGGCTGGGTCAGTTGGTGTTTCTGTGTGGAGTTTGCATGTTCTCCCTGTGTTGGCGAGGGTTTCCTCCGGGTGCTCCGGTTTCCCCCACAGTCCAAACACATGCGCTATAGGGGAATTGGGTAGGCTAAATTGGCCGTAGTGTATATGTGTGAATGAATGTGTATGGGTGTTTCCCAGAGATGGGTTGCAGCTGGAAGGGCATCCTCTGTGTAAAACATATGCTGAATAAGTTGGCGGTTCATTCCCCTGTGGTGACCCTTGATTAATAAAGGGACTAAGCTGAAGGAGAATGAATGAATGAATTAATGATGGACTGTTATGGTGTGATGTTGATCATGTGACTCGTGTTGTTTTTGTTTTTCAGATGGATCAAACCCGTACACACTGAAGCTGTGCTTCTCTACGTCCTCACATCTCTGAACACACACACAATACACATGCAGACTGACACAAGCAAAAACACACTTAAACATTCTGTTCCTCACACACACACACACACACACACACACACACACTCATCCATTCTCCGTCTCTCATATGGACCTTTTTCACTGAACGCGATGTTATTTCAGTTGAGTTCAGCTTTATTTGTACAGCACTTTTACAATGTAGACTGTGTCAAAGCAGCTCCACATGGAAGATCATAGTGAGTGTAAACAGTGTAGTCCAGTGCTCAGAGTTTAGGTTCAGTTCAGTTCAGCTCAGCTCACTGTGCTTTAATAATCACTACTGAGAGTCCAAACACTCCATGCGCAGCTCTACAGATCCCGAACCAGTACAAAATATATCATCAATGATGCTTTGTGTGTGTGTAAGGAGGATGCTGTGGTCTTGCGCTCGGTAGCTGATGTGTGTATGAGTCATGTTCACACAGCTCTGAGACCAGTAACATCTGCTGCTGTGGATCAGCGCCCCCTGCTGGACTGATCACTGAACACACGCAGATTTAAAAGCATGGAAAACACAGCTGAGAGTCAATCATAGATATATACACCTGATATTGCATACGGACCCTCAGCATGCGTCAATAGCGCCGCCATATTGGTACAGTGCTCCAGGACAGAAGTCACTCAGCCGCACTAGTCCAGACCCGCCCCGTTTTCTACCTGCCGCGCCCGATCCCGCTAAACAGCGGGGGAGAACAAAACCGAAAATCACCCAGCTATACAGTCCAGACAGCCAAGACGCTCGCTTGTCACTATGGCAACCTCCATACAGCAATGATGAAAAAGGTCTATGCACACACACACACACACACACACACTTGTGATCATCATCATCTGAGATCTGACATTCCTTCAGTTCTACTCATCTTATCATCTTATCTGTAAATATGATCACACACACGCGCACACACACACACACACACACACACACACGCACACACACACACACACACACACACACACACACTAGATGTAAAATATGATTATGTCACTCCAGGAACAGGAAGTGCCAGCGAATGACTGACAGGCTGATTTTCTTCTTCAATGCACTGGTGGACTACTGAGTGCCCTTAACAGACAGCAGACTGAAGACTGTGTTATTTATGTGTACAGCGGCTGCTTAACTAGAGACTGGGTTAACTAGTCGGAGTGTGTGTGTGTGTGTGTGTGTGTGTGTGTGTGTGTGAGAGTGTGTGTGAGTGATAAACGACGGCGATTAAAGCGCTTCTCTCAGCAGCCGTCTTCATTCAGTGAGCACTAGGTAGTGTACATCTTTAATCTGCTCTTACTAGTGGACGTGCAGCTCCGGGTCTGTCTGTACTGTATCATACTGTAATATGATGTTATTGATGGTTATTGATCTGATCAGTGTTTGGTCGCGTCTCATTGGTGTGTTTTTGGCCTCATTTGAATATTCATGATGAGAAATTTGCATAATCGTCAACATGGCGGATGTGTTCCGACTGTAAATAAGATGAAGAACTGTGAAGACTGATCACAGGGCAATAAACGACGACACACTGAACAACAGACACTCAGTACACCTCTGCTCTGTGTGTGTGTGTGTGTGTGTGTGTGTGTGCGTGTGTGTGTGTGTAAACTGCTCTTCTCCACAGGTCCAGCTGGTCTATCAGTGTGTTTGGCTTCAGCTCTGCTCATGTTCTCCTCTCATGTGTGTCACCATTGATGAACACATCTATATCCTCATTCAGCTGATCATATCACCTCATCATCATGAGCTGAGACGAATCAAACTCTAGTAGAAAGATGTTGAATGAAGTGTGTGTGTGTGTGTGTGTGTGCGTGTGTGTGTGTGTGTGTGTGTGTGTCTTGAGCATCAGTCCGTTCTCTGTTCTGAAGATGACTCTCCATCTCTGCACTCTGATTGGCTGTTCCACCTCTTCTTCAACTAATCAGGCAATGTCTGCTGTATTCTGCTGTTCTGATTGGCTGTTGATAATAGACTCCTCCTCTCTGACCCACTTCATCTTCTGCACCTGTTTCTGCAATCAGGTCGCAGCAGGAAGCGTTTCTGCAACGTTCCCTCAACGTTCCGTCAGTCTGCTGGCTGAACTCTTCATAGGGAGTATCAGAGTTAGACACTGTTGGCTCAGGATACTCCTGAAGCAGGATGAGCACTAAAATAACCCCTTCATTCATTATTGATCAGTGATTTCCCTCTCCATTAGCAGCTGCTGATCAATAGTCAGTTCTCAGCTCTAATGAGCCCACAGGATCACGGATGATCACCGATAATCTCATCTTCATATGAGTGTTAATCAGTACAGATACAGCAGGAGCATCACCAGACAACTCGGGGATTCAGCAGATTCACAGATGTGGAAACATCAGCCTGACAGGAAATGAAAAGGTTGCTAAGGGTTACGTATCAAACATCAACAGGCTTCAGCTGTGCAGGTGAAGTCAGAATTATCAGCACCGCTGTTTATTATTCCCCCAATTTCTGTTTAGCAGAGAGCAGATTTCTCCAACACATCTCTAATCATAACAGTGTTCATAACTCATCTCTAATCACTGATTTATTTTCTCTTCATCATGATGACAGTAAATAATATTAGACTAGATATTCTTCAAGACACTTCTATACAGCTTAAAGTGGCATGTAAAGGCTTCACTAGGGTAATCAGGGTAAAGTTAGGGTAATCTGGCAGGTCATTGTATATCGATGGTTTGTTCTGGAGAGTATTGAGAAAAAAAAATAGAG